TTTTAGATGCATTCTCATATTCCTGGATTCTTTTCTCAATATGCTAAGTATTAGTTCGCACTTTGTTTTCAGTGGTATCAGCCTTTCCACTTGTAGATGTATTCCTTGTCGGGTGCCTCAACTCAGGATTCTTTTATTATGACTTATAGTTAGTAGTTGCATGCACTCTAGATAGTCGTTCGAATCTGTATTGTATAAGATAAGGTATGAGACTCCGGGCAGTGTATTGGTGGAAAGGTAAGTGAAGTCAGAATGCTACAAGGATATAGTAAGGAAAGTAAGGTTTATATCCTTAAGTGGTTCTTTTCTTCTTATATAAGAGACAGGAAAGTCATATTTAGGTATAGGAAAAGCAGAGGGAGTTGAGCAGCAAAGGTGAGTCTTATACTAGTTTAGTAGCAGCAGCCTAAAAGGCGGGAATATAAGATTGAGATTCCAGAGAGGCAGACCCGAGCTAGCAAGTAGAGATCCGGATCAGTGGTTCGATCCCTAGGTTTGAGTTAAGGTATTGACGTTAGCCCAATTCCAAGTTCTAGTATAAAGTATTGTATTGCACTAGTTTAGTTTAGAAGCAAGTAAAGCAATGATCCGAATCAGCTGCTATAGAATCAAAGTATAAGTTATGGTGGGGCTGCTACACTATTTTAGTGCTTCTCATCATTAAGCCTATAATAACGAATTACTGACCTACTAAAAGGATGAAAGAAGGGATTGTAAGGCTATAATCCTCAGGGGAACAGAACAAAGGGCTGCTGGGTTTCTTTCTTATTTCTATGTTTTATTCCGACTGCCCACTTTACAGGCACCAGTAGCGCGGGTACAGATTTGAGATCATTAACTACAGAATTGAGGTATGGATAGTCAGATTAAGGGAAAGTGCCCATCAGCAATAGAGCAAGAGACACTACCGCCGAAAGCAACAGTCGAATACAACACTTATAAAGAGCTACCTTAGAATAGAGATTCGTTTTTGAGACTCTATTCCCTCTGTATTGATTCTTCTACCACGAATTATAGGGCTGTTGCTACTTACTCAAATTATTACTATCCCGTATATCGGTACTAGGCTCCTTGGCCTCTGGGGTCCAACTACGAATAGAAGGGCTGTGACTCCTTCCTCTTAGTCCACCTTTCCTGCCTTTAAGGCTTGTTTCTCACTCTTACTACCGGGGATCCCCATTCATAGTCTCATAATAGAGAATCAACTACCGATAGCAAGAAGAGAACCTCAAACACTAGAGCTGATGCTATAACAAGGATATAGCTCCACCCCGGGAATCCAAGCTACTATAAAAGAACGCCTTACCACTATGAGAACACCACTGCTATTACTAATAGGCTCCCTTCCCTTGCTTTAGACCTTTCTTTAGTGTTTGATTCTTACACCACAGGGTTCCAACCGGATACTAATGCCAGTGAGTCTGCCTTTACTTGATGAAAATCTGATATGCCTGGCCCATAAGTCTTCCCTTGGAGGGCGTTTAGTAAGGATTCTTCCCTAACAGGGGATCCAACCACTGTGAGAAAAGCTGATAGAACTACTAAAAAGAATGGACCTACTGATGGAAAGAAATCAACTGCAATAAGACCTCCCTTACTTACATCTAATCTTGCTTTACCGAACTCGAACCTCGTTTGCTTGTTTCTTAGCCTACCGATCCTGTCTTTCACTCTTACAACCATATCTCTGACTCTTTGACTGTTAACTCGGATCTTGCTTGACTTTAATGAAGAGTTGGGCTGGACCCCTAACTACTAAGAAAGAAACTAGTGCTTATAGGACTTACCCACTTAACTGGGAATTCAATCAGTGCTGGAAGGGATGATACTGCAACTATCAAGAATTGACTAATGCCCACGACGCCTTGCTTTACTTGCTCTCAAATGCTACTATGAGGGGGATACCATATTAGAATACACCTACGACAACAGGGCCTATAAACTCCAGCTTCTAGGAATCGATACAAGAATACATAATGTAGGTAGGTAGTAAGTATCATCTTTGAACTAATGCTAACAAGACCTATACGTGGAACCCAGGCTTTCCTACTGTCTCAACTAAAGCGAGTTTCTCACTCTTTTACCTTCCTTTTACTTGACTTACCTAGAACCTTGCGACATTGCACATGAGTCTGCTCTGGCTTACTTCAAATCTGATATCTCTTATCAGGGCTGTCTCTCGCTGCTTCAAAGCCGGTACCCCTCGCTTTCGTTCTGTAGCTGCGGATCTCAACTCCCTATCTATTGCATCCAAACTCAAATGGCGCCTACTGAGACTTTCTCTTAGAATATAGAATTGCATAAGTGCTCCCAAGGCTGCGAAAACCCAAATCCCCAAAAGAGTGTAGCGGCCCTAGCATACTTAACCACACAACTCAGACTTGTCCTAGCGCTTCTAAGACTAGACTGCCAATAGGACTTTCGCTGCTGAACCTAAACCAAACCCATCCATTTATCCGATTTTGCCTTTTGACATATAGTCGAATTTCTTAGTGATCTATGTTCTGTTTTATGGGTGTAGCATATTATGACTTTTGAGTTGGAACCTGACTTTCCTTATTACTCACCAGCTGCTTTGCTGCCCTGACTTTTGAGTTTGGATTCTATGATCTACTACTTCCGCTTAATCTATATGCACTCACTGGTCGTACCCTAAATGTTCCCTTCATACTAGAAGCACTGGGGCGTACCTTACTTCTTATTTGTATTCTTTAAATTCGAACTCCTTTCATTCTCTCTATTATGGGCTCGAACCTCGATACCGGTAGCGAAATTCCCTTCTTTCTTGTTTCACAGCTTGTAGACACTGCTCCATGCTTATAGTACCCATTTCATTATCGATTTCTACTATTGATATTGTAGTTTCATATTGGTATACTGTGTATTCTGTATTTCAGTCTGATTGGGCACTGGTGAATTCCCTGTTGCTTGTTAAGGTATTAGAGATAGTAGCGGTAGACTTTGTTAGGGGATATAGGTGTACTGATCTGTGGAAGCAAGGATCCGGATCAATGGATACTGACCAATAGGAAGGAAGGTTATTCTTTTTATCGGTAGTTTCTTTCTTGATTCTTTTATTTATTCAAAGGGCAGTTCAGTTGGAACCTAGAACATAGGCATTGAGGGTAGAGTAACAGCCATCAAGAGCGGATCGGAGGACTTCAATAAAGCAAGGGCAGCGTCAGCAGAGCAAGATCCAAAGGTAGTGGTTCAAGAACTAAAGCTATTAGAGCAAGGTTCGAGGCTAGTAGTGCTAGGATAATCGTTAGCTGTTGGACTCTTACTTGCATTGGTTTCATGCCCCTGTTCCACTCTTATTAGTAGTTCTCTCATTCATTAGTGGTGATTTCATTCTCCTACTTACCAGTTTGGTTCTTTCCATTGGTGTTAGCCATTCAAGCCTTACCAATACGAGTTCAAGTTTCGGAAACATTAGTCAAAGTCTGCAGTGGTTACATTCCTATCCTCTGGGTTTCCACTCTGAAATTACTGTCTTTGATTCCCATGCTACTTAGTGCAATTCTGATTGTTGACACGATGTATCCTTCCTTCTTTCTCCGTTGCTTCTTTCTGGAGTGCTTGAACTGGAACTATAACTCCTTCTTTCTAAGAATAGAGAGCAAAGAACTATTATACCTCTGTCCTATCCATTAGACCATCTAACGAGAACCTTAATGGAATTCTATAGCTATGAAACAAGAAAACCCGAGTCTTGGTTCCTTTCGTACGTGCAGGTGTTCCTCAGCTTGCTCTATCGAGAATGGAATCTTTCTATCAAGCTTTTTTCCAGGGCATATCATATCAGTGGTGAGCATTGGAAGAATGAAGACATAGTGCTCTTCCTTTTCCTTTCGTTGTGAAAGCGTAATAAGATCGAGAAAGAAAAGAAAGAAGCCCCTTTATCGAAAGCAAAGAGGGTTATCCTAATTCCCCGAGTCAGCCTCTAGTATTTGACCAATAGGAAACCCCCGGATCCTTATTCTTTAAGGAAGGACTCGTTTGATTTAGTAATATTTCTGCTTTTTGTCTAGCAGAGCGAATAAGACTGATGCATAAGTCCTTTTCAGTCAGTTACTAGAAATGTTTTTAGAATGAATGGAATATTCTCGTAGTTCCGAGTAAGTATATAATGAGGAGTGCTATTTGCTCGTAAGAGGAGTGGCTCGTAAGAGGAGTGAGCTTAGATTACTATTACTTTAGGGAGTGGCTCGTAAGAGGAGTGCAATTTGCTCGTAGTTCCGAGTAAGTATATAATGAAGAGTGCTATTTGCTCGTCTCGTAGTTCATCGTAGTGCTATGCTATTAGCCGATCATTCTGAATAATTGCACAAAAGAGAATGAATAGAAAGCAGAACTAAAGAGCATCAATTGAAAGAGGCATCAGATTCCTATGGGTTGGTTTGTCTCCAAGCGGTATTAGTGGTTAAGACATTATGCTCCTAACCGTCCCAAGGGGCCTGGCCTGTTCTAAGGCTCCACCCCGAATCTTCACAAAGAAAGAAAGGTGAGGCGCGAATTCCAATATTGATTCCTACTGTCTGTGAATGCAAATAGCTCTCTCTCTTATTGATTCCCACTGCGAATGCTATTATTTGGAATGTAGGATCGGCCCTCTTTCGCTTCATTATTTGGAATGTAGGATCGGCCCTCTTTCGCTTCGAGCTTTTTGCTGTTAAAAGAGATCCTATCCTGCCTTGCCTCCCATACAACACAACATTCTCCTCCATCTTTTGCCATTGCTGCTCGCTCTGGGCCTAGAATTCGATAGATTGATATCCTGCCATTAATAAGAAAGAAGTATATAGAAGCGATTTGAGTAGCTAGTGCTTCTATCCATCCACGAAATCCTTATTAACGTCTTCAATGAATTCTTTGATGAAAGTAGGTTCGCCGTTCTTGATCTATTGGATTTGGGTCTTTCTTGGTCACTAGCTCAGGTCTCTGGATTTATGAATTGACATTTATGAGCTTGTAAGTTGAAGTCCCTGAAGAAAGGAAAGGCTAAAACGAAATAGGGCTATAAGTAGGCCGTTTGCTATTGCTATAAGGGCTGCTCGCCTTTATACGGCTTGGCTTCGCTATCGCTCCTATGTAGTGGTCGGCCTTAAAAGGAGTTAGCCTCTAATGCCTATATTAGAATAGTGCGTTAAGCTTCGCCAGAAGCACAGAAGACTAGGGGAAGCTGTTCGTATACAAGACTCGTTCCTGACTTACGAGCTCGTGTAGTTAGGCCTCTACTACTTCAATAAAAGAAATAGGGCTTATGCACTCCACCGAGCGAATTGAGCGAGCGAAGCCTTCCTTGAGCTTCCCACTTCCCTCACCCTACTATTGCTTCCGCTTCCACGGGTTAGTTGGTTTGGAGGATTAATTGATTGAATACCCGAGAACCATAATCTTTCAAAGAAACTGCTTCTACGACGATGGATAGGGGTAAGGTTTGGCATCGTAGCCCCCTTCCCTCAAAACAGTATGAGAGCCTTTCCGCTCGTACTGCTCACACTCCTAGATCTGAACTAAGAGACCTCTGCGACCATAGTTTGAGCTGGGAGTAGCTCCGAGAATCCTTCCAAATGAGCTTGAAAGTCAACGTCAACAACACGAAAAGTACACGTTGGTTGCCTACTAATCAGATCATAGGTGAAATCCCTTCGCCTCTCGGAAGCTTGAGAATAACTTAGAGTGGCGCCTAACCGTTGAGAGCGTCTCTTGTCTTTTCATTTAATAAGAAGAGTTGTAGATCTTGGACTGGCCCCCTTCGCATGACCTGGAATTAAAGGTCTGTGCTACTATAAGGCCTCTAAACTCCTTCCTCAGGACACTGTTGCGTTGCCATGGGACGGGGTATCCCCGACTTCTATAGTTCCTTGGTTCGACCTCCTAATGAGAATTGAGGTCCTTGCGCGGGCGTCTCATCCCTAAGACGAGTTTGCCTTTGTATGGAGTGTCCCGTGGTTCCTCTAGTGCCAGCCGCAGAGAGGAATGCCATCAACTAGGGCGCTATTTGCCACTAACCACTCGCTCGCCGGCCGCTCGGGCTCCGCGTTTCAAGTTGGTTATCCTAACCGTTTCCCCTGCTCTACCGGGAGCCTGGCCCAATATTAGATCTTATCTACTGCCTTGCTCCTCGGCTCCCTACTGCTCAAGCGGCTCGCTGTAATAGCTTGCTTATCGGGTGGCTCGCACCCCTACCACGGGTGGTGCGGCTAAGCCAGAGTGGGCTCAGCTGTCGGCCTATGTATCCGGGCGCACGCGTAAAGGCATGATTAGTTCCACGAATCTCACTGCACTGACCATAGTAAACTCCTTCTCGTTGTATAAAAATAGAGGTATTATTTGAACGACCTGGTACAGCATCACATTTGACACCTGAAGAAGGTACAGCCCAACTATGAGGTACATCAGCAGGTGTTACAATCATACGTAGATTTGTTTTGGCTGGTACAACCACTCTATTGTCAACTTCTAATAAACGTGATTGACCCAATTCTAGATCATCTTCTGGAATCATATAACTGTCAAAAGTGAGTGACTCTTCATCTCCACTGTTATAGTCCGAATACTCATAAGGTTGGGTCGACGCCCGCCTCCCCCCAAACTGAACTTGCAAGGTTACCTGCTAAAAGCTTTCCACGCCTACTCCTATAAACGGATACGGAGCACTATTCTTCTTTAGCCTACTAGAACACCTATAAACTCAGCAAGCACTATGATGAGCCTACTAAAACCTATAAACTCAGCAAGCACTATTATTATTATTTTGCCTACTCTTATAAAGAGAGCAAGCAAGCACTATTATTATTTGGTTAGTTAAGTCCCCTATCAGAGAAAGACCGTAAGACCCCGGTGGAATCGAAGGCCCGCTTACTTATTCATAGGCAGACCCACCCTTTTGAGCCCAGCCCTACCTACTGAAGTGAAGCTGGAACCAAAAAGGACTCAGTTCAACACTACTCAGTTCAACACTAATATTACAGTCAGAAGAGAAGGTATGGGACGACACGACCTGTTCACTACCGGAAAGCGAATTCGATCCTATAGTAAGTGAAGTTCGTCTTCTTTGTTCGAAAAGAAAAGAAAGAGTGATGCTTAGTCGGCTCGGCTAAGTTGTAGGCCCCAATAGATAAGATACTGAGTTATTCCTAACCTCTCCAGTAAGGAGTATAGATTCTCAATGCGAATGTGAATGGCCGGACCTTAGATCTAAAAGGATCTATCTATAGGCCTCTGACCAGAAAGTGATTCCACTAAAAGAAAGTCGTTCATGAGACCTTGAATTCCCACTTCTAGCCTGCATTATGCCAGCGGGTAATTGAATTGATTGAGTAACCCTTATATCTTTATCTAATTTAGGACAGAAGAGATATTCGAAATTAGATCCTCCATTGTGAGAGAATAGGATGACTAAGCAAAAGTGAGAGAATAGGATGACTAAGCAAAAGAGATATTCGAAATTATATCCATTGAGAGAGAATAGGATGACTCTATTCATAGGTAAATGAGATTGAACCTCCCTACTATACTGTTTACGACATCGCTGAGTGGAATTCTCTATGTTTGACTGACCTCCTACTGTTCACGAATCGCTTAGGGAAATTCTATTTGACCTCCCTACTATACTGTTTACGACATCACTTTGTTGAATTCTCTATGTTTGACCTTTTCCAACCGTTCACGACATCCCTTGCTTATCGCTGCGAACGGCTCCTCGGTTCCGTAGTAGAAGCGCTGGTCCCCTTCGGTTGCTTGTGCATGCTGTTACCTACTGTAGGACCTCCGTCCCCGAAGCGAAGAAAGAGGAAAAGGAAGAACCGGTTTTGCTCTCTTGTCTTGGCCCAGTAGTTCTGCTACTACTACTGTGGTTGTTGCCAACGGGGATCCCTCATTCCGAAAGGTGACGGGGCCGGCCGTTAGGTAGAAAGTTGTATGCCACTGTGCTGTGGTGCCGATAGATGAACTACTTCAGCGCTGTTATCGGACATTGCATGCCTAAGCATCTATTTTTCGTATATTACTTCCACACCGAGAAAAGAGGTATGTGTACCTCCAGCAACAAAAGGAATTGCACCATAGGCTCCTATGCTGGGAGCATTTCCGGGTATAGGTCTAACCACTGAAACTCCCCAGTTTCTGGCATGCTATTGTTCTTATAGTCTCTCGACGCCGGGAATGGGAGATTACTGGTAAGCCAGATGCTTCGCGAACTACCGGTACATTTCTAAGCACTTAAATCACCCTCGTTAAGAGGCGCACTCCAATACCATTGATGTCCAATAGCTTTAATAGTAATGGCTGGATCTACAACTACCTCGTCCATTGAGTATAATAGAGCAAACGATGGTATAGCAATGAACATCGGTATGATACTTGGAAATATGGTCCGAATAATCTCAATAGTAGTTCCATGAACAATCCTTTGCGGAACAGGATTAGTTTGCTCGTGGAAATGCCATAAGGCGCGAACCAAGATCCGTGATACGAAAACCAAAATCAGAATAAGGAAGAAAAAGATATCATGATGTAAGTAAATGATTCCTTGCATAATAGGTGTTGCTGCATTTTGAGATCCTAATTGCCAGGGTTCCGCAGCATCACAAGGAGCAATTGTGAGGAATCGCCATGATAATGAATGAAGAATCATTTCCTTTTCCATTCTTTGACTGCTCTGCTCCCCCGAAAAGAGAAAGGAGACAACTAGAGACTTGGCGTTGGGTTTTCCAACCAAAGAAAGTATATAAGAACTCACTCCTTACTGCTAGATTATTGGAATGAAGATTGGAGCACTAAATAGATCATTGCATTTCCTATCAATCAATAGAATGGAGGATAGAAAGATTTCACAAAACGAAAGAAATAGAATATGTAACTCAGACTTTGGTTACAAGAATAATATCAATACTAAAGGAGTGTGTTTACCTTAATACTCAATTATGGAATAGTTGACTACTTGGATTTCATTAAAGTTGAGAGGCAAATAACATAGTATGAAAAATAGATTCTTAGGAACGCTCATTTATGTAAGTCAGTGTCCAGGGAAATATTAGATTCCTTATTTGTTGGTGCCTATTGTCCACGTAAGGGTTGTAGACGTTGTCCTCCGCCTCTGTCCTGAACTAATTAACACAAACCTCTGGGTAGTTCATTAACGGATTTTCTTGTATTTCTGTCCTTATTACTAGATAATAGCTAGACTGGTATGTCCATAATCCACTTTAGGACCTATTGCCCACTCCGGCAACTAACCTTCTCGTCTTCTTATTCTTTCCCTTGCCTTTGTCCAGTCCTATATCCTATCAGGAGAGAGGAGAGAGAGACAATTCTATTATTCATTGATTCTATGGATTGAGAAGGAAATCAGATAGTATATAAGGGAAAAGATAGTCAAATAAATAATAAATAAGATAGTATATAAGGGAAAAGATAGTCAAATCAATAAGAAATCAGAAAAGTCAATAAGGGTTAATTCCGATAGTAGATAAGCGTGAATGAATAGATAGTCAATAAGGGCGAATTCCGTCAGATAGTATATAAGGGAAAAGATAGTCAAATAAATAATAAATAAGATAGTATATAAGGGCTCATGAATGGAATTCCAGTATGGGTTTCAGGTCCATAGGTAATGTATAAAGAAGGTACCTAGGGCGGAGGTAAGGCATTCTCATCCTATTGATATGTGTTCCCATATTTTCATCCAAGGGGTTAGTCCTGAATAGGCAGTTTACTTACTTATTTACATAGTGATGCCCTATCCTCTATTCTTCTTCCGTTTGTTTACAGTTTTTCTATACTAAATGTTACGGACTCAACTGTCTGCTTCAGAATTCATTGATTCTTTCGAGACCCTGTAGATAAGGTAATCTTACCTCAATCTATACTCAAGACTGCTTCCCTTTCTTTTGTCATCTTACCGGCTTGGCAGGGCAACAAATCATTCTTCAACTTCAACAATCAAGTTCCATTCTTACTTGCAAGGTGACTTCCCACTCCTTCGCGCTTGGTCCTTTCATTCGGACTCTCCTGTCTATTAGCCTTCCACTCCCAACTTGGATTCTTAGACTATTATTACTCATCCTTATCTATTCCTCCACTCTTGTAGACTTAACGAGCACAGCTTATGAGCCTGTAACTCACTTCTGAAACTAATTATTACAGGAGGTACGCAAAACCTTCACCATACTTTTCTCTGGAACAAGGCTTTGTGCGCTGATCAATCCTGCTACTCGAGTGATCTACTTTCCTCTAGTGAACCCGCTTCTCTATAGTTATCTTCTTATAGTTACCTTCGTTAGGTGGGTGAGTGACCTTAGAGCACATGGGTTGGCGAGAAGATAAGGAGGATTCCCTTCCAGCTTTGCTTTATGGTAATATACCTCTGGCTTGCTCCTTTACTTTCATTCAGAAATGAATATAGCCTTCCTTCATCTAATGTTTATCCTGTTCCTGCTTAAGATCGTTTTCCGTACACTTATCTTGATTCGCCCAAACACAACACCTATTTCTTCTTCTTAATAGGGTGAAGTATTGCGTATTCTTAAGGAAGCAGGCGGGCGGGTCTGCTAGTTCAGGTGTGGACTCTAAGTAAGGATAGTTTGGAGCTGGACCCAGATACGGAGATAGATAAGTTGGAGAGCCAGATACGAAGATGTATAAGGAGTAAGTATCTTTAGTAGGAGATAGAGAATCTACTGTTTCAAGAAAGGAGTAGAGATCATATACTGGATAAGGTTAAGATGATTGATTTGCTTTCGAAGCAATAAGTTCATCGGGTGTTGAGCCCGCACTGGGTTGGGATTTATAAGTAGTAGGGATGTTGGAGTGGTGCCCAATGATTCAATAAAAACAGGCAATTGGCAAGGTAAGGTGTCTTAGAGAGAGATAATCCGTGGCAGAAAGATATTAAGCTGTATCCCCTCCGTGGGAGAATCATTAGAGTGACCCGCTCCCCTATTAGATATATTGAGAACCGTGCACTCCACACTATGAAGTCAGAATTGACCGACCCCCCCTAGTGTAGTGCTCTCAAATAGATAAGTTGGAATTCAGCTGCTCCCTTTCCTTCCCTTTATCCGAGTCAACTAGGAAAACAGAAAACCTGACTTGATAACAGCTTACTTCGACACCGCTGCTTCATCTTCCCCTACTTAAGGTCCTGATCCCGATCTCGACTCTATACTTGAAGACGCAAACAAGGTGCTAAGAGCCTTGCGCCAAGGAAAGAAAAAAGGAATGGAAGATATTACTATTGATATTGAGCGTATAAGTTAGTCTAGAAGAGAAGCAGTAAAAGATTGAACTTACCTGTTAGCACTTAGTGTTTCGCCTTCATCCTCACTTGCCCCTCCTGTTAGCGCAATAAATAAGTCATTTTCTCCAAAAGAGTGGAGCGGCCCCAAAAGCATCTATTGTAATAACTTGTCATATCTATTACCTTGGCTACCGCACTTAGTCTTGCGCCTAAGCTTGGTCGTTAGTAGTTGCTTGGCGCCTTACGCGCCGAGTAAAGTGCGTAACTCCACAAGCACCGACAACTTGGAAACCTCTCTCCGAGACTCCACTTTCTGATTCATTTCCCACTTCAACTTCACTTGCAGCTGACGAAACAAGCAAATCATATCCCTCCGATCTGGCAACTTCATCTGTCCCTCATACGAGTTATGTTCTTGTTTAAATCCTATTAATATTGAGAAGCAGTGTCGTCACCGATGTAGCTCGCAGGTTGAGTACGGTAGACAAGAAAAGAGAGAGTATTGTTCGACAAAAGAAAAAGCAAAGGAAGAGAGATCTTAAGAAGGTTAAGAAGATGGAGCAGAGCAGTTGAAAGTGGAGTTAAAGAAGAGAAGCCAGCCCTTGAACACGAGTACTATAAATCCGGCTTGAACACCTTGCCTTACAGACGAGAAATAAGCCTTATTCCGCCTTTTGACCATGAATACGAGGAGTTCCCATCCAATGATAGTGAAAGAAGCAGTTAAGTAATTGACTCAAAAAGAAGCAGTGCGAAAGGAAGCTACAAGACCGGAAAGTGTAGTGATCAAGTCTGCTGCTGTGTAGTGTCTTTACGGGTCTATACCACATGCTTGCTTTACTAGATGAGATGTAAATTCCGTATTTGTGGGGAGGCCGGTCGTGCCAGAATCCAATCCCAAGTCATAAATAAATAATCTTAAATAAGGATAAAATACAGAATTCAACAAGCTGGAACTGGGGCTGCTGGCAACTCAATCTCTCCTCCGGCAAACTACTATGTCAACGAATTGCATTCTGAACTTCAATACCAGAGTCATTGAATTGAACCTATGGAGCACCTGACTTCCTCTCTTTAACGTGAACAAGAGCAGTACCACCAGGAGCTGTACTCAAGGTCTTCAACCCGACGAGCACAGGACTTGACCGAGACTCTGCAGGGGAAACAGAAACTAATCAACTAGGCTAAACTCAGTACTTAGGAGATAAGAATTGATACAGTACGAATGTTCTTATACTATGTAGCTAGTAAAGGAGTTAAAGAGTTATGTATTAGTATAGTAAGTATAAGTAGAGTAAGTAAATGAATAGGGGCCAAGAGATCCGTATCAGAGGAAAAAGAGCTATATCCAGCTTCTACTATTTCTTTGAATGCGAGTGCTCCGGCCTTTCAGAAGAGAGTTATATACTTCCTAGGCTTGGAAGACATAGGCGATGATACTTTTACGTTTTCCCGAGAAAAAACATAGCAAAGACATTTTCAAAGCTAACGGACCCGAAATGGATGAGCCGAACAAAGGACTTGGTTATAACAGGAGCAGCCAATTCTTGTTTCCTATATATAGAATAGTAGTGATTTAGTAGTGGACAAGCCTACAAAGGAGATAGATTGACTACTTGCTTAACACAAGCAGATGACCTAGACCTTTACGCCATAGTACTACCGGGATGCAGACTATAACTCTCACAGGAACAGGATCGGTATGCTACTATAACTCCCGTCTCATCTACCGGGGAGTCAACTAATACAGATTCAAGCAGTCCCTTTCCGAAATGTCATCCTATTTTGGGGCCGCTATAGTTCCCAGTTATGTAGAAGTTATTACAATAGATGTCTTCGTTGCCTTAACCGCTACGTGTATAGAGAACTCTATATAAGGATTTCCACTCTAACTCGCCAGGGAAACAGGTCCAATTCTCCACTCCCTGCTTCCAATGAAACTTTAGACCCGGCTTGGATTCTTTTACTGGTATTATTTATACTTATATTTCTCCTATGATCTAGCACGTACAAAGATGAGAATCAACCTATGGTGATAACAAGAATCGAGCAGTGCTATGAGAAAACCAACTTATGTAGTCGAATAATAAAGGTATGCCTTTCCGTCTGCTGCTCTTGGATCCCAATCTGACTTGACTGTTCCTTAAACTCAAATCACTCGTAGGAAGAATTGAACCACAGTGCGTCTCACACTCGAACAGTAGCTAAACCTAGACTATACTCTCCGAGGTGCGTCTCATCCTTTGACTAATATAATAAGGAATTGCACTGGTGCCAACAATACTTTTACTCATAACTGGGGAATCCCAACACAGCTTTTAAGGCTTTGGCTACTGATCTAAACCTTGACTTACTTTATCTAAGCCTGCCACTACTTACTTGAAAACTGTGCTATTACTCGACCTCAGACTTGCTTTACTGACCTCAAATCTTATTCCTAACAAGCAAATGCGACTGACATTAAATCAACAACTACTGGATACTCATCTTTATTCCACCGGGCTCTAAGCCTACCTTCACTAGCTATCAAACTCAAACTCCAGTTTCTCGTTCTACCGCTACTGGCTTTTGGTCTTACTTCCCTTACCAGCAAACTCACTCTCCTTGATTTGATTCTACATCCACCCCCCAACAAAGAAAGAAGATTCTTATTAACCTGCCGATCAGTCACCGAGTAACTACTAACCAAGCAGGCAAGTCACTTCAGTACTAGACAAGTGGACAGAGCCAAGCCACTCAAAAGGAGGAATTGACAACCAATTCTCAGATTTCACTGCTACTAACAAGGGTCGATTACATTGAGCTACTCGATAAGACCTAACTATGGCTCCTGAACTCCACTTTGAATCTCCTACTTCTTTATCTTAGCTTGGCACTGCCTTCTCCAAACTCAGGGTTCGCATTCTCCAATAGCCCCACCAAACAAAAAGTATTTCTTTCTTAGATATCAAACTAGAACTACACATACGGATCTTTACCCCCACCCCAGCTGATACTGTTGCTCATAAGAATATTACTAGCGCCGATGAGACTGATATCGCTACTCAAAAGAATCAACACACTGGAGAGGAATTCAGCTACCGTCCTTCATTCGATGCCCCTTCCCTGTGCTGTGCTTCTGCATACACAAATACGGAATTCT